TAGTAAATTTAGTATAATAGTTGCGTCTTTCTCCACGTTGAAGAGTTTTAAAAAATTTATCAGCTGGATGGAATTTTCTAACAGCGCGTCAAAAGAGTTAGTCAGACTGATATTAAATTGTGGATTATCCACTGTGCTCATTTTTTGGCTTTGCCCTAGTGAAGGGCCGGCCAGCTGGGCCACCTCCGAGGGCGGCGTGTACGCGGGTGTATAATTTAGCGAAAACAGTCGCGCGGTGCGACTAAGTCGCGTTCACGGAGAGAGAAAAGAGGTAGCCCTGAAAAGAACCGTTTGGAGAGAACTCAAATTCGAGTAAGACCGATGCGTAACAAACGTCCGCAGAGAGCGTGCGCTCGGTACGAGCGCTCGAGCAAGACTCGAGCTCTATTGTGTTGAACCCTTTTGAGAAGATAGTTGGGCATTTATACAGCTAAAAAAAATGGGTGGATTATCCAAAGTTTAAATTTAGCTTTCTATACACGTGCTAACTGGAGGCACTTTTATCAATGACCATAAGTCTCTTTTTTAAATTGTTTTAAACCATTACAATTATCTTAATTTCTTATTATACTTGCATTTCTTAGCCGACCAATAAGCTACGTTTTTTAGCACTGTGACGTTCTTTTCCACTGTTGTGTACGATTTACCAATAAAACCGTTTTATAATGTTAATAGTCGGTAGCCAAATTTCATTTTTAGTTGAGTTTCATCGATTTAAATACATGCTTTTATAAACTTTCATAAGCTTCTCTAAAAAATTTACAATATTGTATATTAAATTATTTTCAGTTACATAATTATGAAACTTAAGATACAAATGTCTCTTAAATATCTCTTAAATTTAAGAATTTTTTTAACAGTGGCAATTTACGTAAGTAGGCATGTATAGGTGTGCAAGCCTAGGTCCGAAACGCGGGAAAGACACGCGACGATCATCGCACCTTGACTGCCGAACACGATTTTATTTGCCTTGGATAAGATATTAATTGGATCGGCTCTTGACCTCTTATATATGTATTGAATCGATTCGATTTAATATAAAATATAAATGTAACCTATTGATTCCTCGATGCACTGTGTTGTATATTTTTCGAGACGACAGGGTTTATTTATTTACATACAATTACTAATTTATCCAATTTGCAAGTCCCGGACTACATGCATAACAATATAATCATCCTTAGAGAGCACACACACACACATATAGTATATGCATATATGTATGTATTTGGTATCTGTAGTAAAACAAGCGGTGGCTCCCATAAGTATTCCAGAAGCGCGCGCGTGCCAGCAATAAATAACCCGCAAGCTATACGTCAAGTAAAAGTAATCCGCGCGCCAACGCAACGAGAATATTAGAGTTGGGAGGGAAAGGGGGAGCAGCTTTTTCACGCAGGGGTGAGAAAGAGAGAGAGAGAGAATAAAGGGGTAACGGACCATTGAGCAGCCGATGTAGCGATTTAATGGATTTTGACGATAGTGCCTGCTGGCACACGAGTAAAGGTCAGCTCAGGGTATACCTACACACACACACACACACACACACACACACACACACACACACACACACACACACACACACACATATACGCACGTCTAAGATCTATATATTTGGACGATTTGGACTCATCGTGATGTGCTCTTTGCTACAAAAATTCCATTCATGTAGGTATAGGTATATAAATATATGCCTCTGCGTGCAGTGGAGTGAATGGCACAACACCTCACGTGCCACACGCACCCGCGCTGCTATGCTTATTGCTCATAGGTATTGGTGTATACACGTATTTACTTACTTGTTATACGCATCGCGACTAATCTTCCGGACACCCTGCTTCCGAGTCCCTTTTCCCTCTCGATCGTCGTCGTGTGCCGTGACATTTAAGTAAGCCTGCGCTGCGCACTTTAACCGGCTGCCATGCATATGTTTTGCTCCGACATTTCTTTTCCTTTCTTTAAATTAGACAAGTAGGTGTATAATTATGAATACACCCCCTTTTTTTTTTTTTTTTTCCTCTCACTCGATTCCTTTTTGAAACAGGCAAAGTGCGTATTTTTTAAACGCTCATTAGACGCATAGAAACTGCTCACTTTGATTTAAACAAATTTTGTTACGTATCAGTATAAGGGATTATTGCGCTCTTGTGAAAATATGGGTAACAAAGGATTTTTAAGTAGGCATAGGTGAAGGTGTGATTTAAAAAAATAATAATAATAATAATAACCAGTAAATAAATAATAACAATAATAATCAAGGACCGGGTGACTGTAATCATTGGATTGTTTGAACCGTTGAATCTGTTTCAACAATGGGGCATTTGAAAAGGGGTAGTCCTCCTCGCGAGGGTATGGAACTCGCGTCGCCATCTATTGGAACAAAGCCCAGTCTAGCAATCAACCCTCCCGGCTTGTCTTGGTCTTACGATCCAAGGGGTGTGAGCTACCCCCTTTTCCTACCCTCGATCAATCGTGCAAACGAGCTCCTCTCCGCTGCGTTTCAAACGCAAAGTTACTATGTATAGCCCAGTGGGGGAAAAAGAAAACATCGTTCCTTTGATTACCCGATGACTGTACGATTCTAATAGAACAAAAAAAAAATGAAAAGAACATGTTTAATACGCGCCAATTTTGCGACACGAGATCCTCTGGGTTAGATAACCACGACGACGATTGCTTTCTAGGAATGAAAAAAAAAATTTTCGATAGCCGGAGAATTGACCGTAATTTATGAAATGAAGAAAGTGATGTTTAAATACATGTGCAAGTAATACGTGAATAGTCATAAAATGACACAAGACATAATAGGTATT